GCTGGAACAGATCGGGTGTCTAAAGTACCTACAAGTATTTGAGGAGCAGGATGTGGACCTGCGCATCTTCCTGACCCTCACTGAAAGTGACCTGAAGGAAATTGGCATCACGTGAGTCCCCTAGTTGGCCGCCCCCAATAATTTCCACCATCCTTCCAGCTTGTACTTCAGCAGGTAGGATGAGCAGCCTGTCTAGACAGAGGCTTTCTTCCAAGTTGGCCTTTGTGCCTACATGGTTTCAAGATGGCCTTGCTGCAGTATGCTGGACCTTTTGGCTTTGTTTTTGTCAGTTCACTGTTTTCTGATTTTTAATTAATTTTTTTATTATAACTGTCACAGTTCTGGAGTTAGTATTTTATAGCACAGGTTTCTTATTTCCCAAAAGCTTAAATATAAAATACTTTAATATAAAATCCAAAGTGTGTATTATGCCTTTTATCCTGAAGCAGTCCATATACAAAATTGCAATTTGTGCCTTTGCTATAACTCCATGGGTGGCTCTCACACTTGCAGTGCTCTCCCCTAGGTGGCTCTGGTGCAGCAGGTGTCCTGCTTTCTACAGGGCTTCCTCAGTGTTTGCCTCTCTGGGAATGTCTGACTCTCTCCTGCACTTTGGAAGGACAGTTTTGCCAGGTAAAGGATTCTTGGTGACAGCTGTTTGCTTTGGCACTTTGGCTGCCTCAGCCTTCCAGAGTTTTGAATGAGAATGTGCAGGTACTTTGACTGAGGATCCCTGCATGGGTTAAGCTGCTTCTCTTTTGTTGCTCCGGGATTCTGTATGTCTTTAGTCAGACTAAAGGGTATTCATCTGTGGACTTCATTGGGCTTTACAGAAGTTCATGTTTTCCATCAAACCTGGATGTTTCCAGGTGCTAGCTCTGCAGAACCTATCTATCTGCCCTTCCTGAGGTACTCATGGGAGTGACTTGGCCCCTGTGTGATCTTGAGCTCTACTTGTGGTTTTTTCTTTTTTATTTCATATGCATTGGTGTTTTGCCTGCATGTCTGTCTGAGGATGTCGGATCCTCTGAAACTGGAGCTATGGACAATTGTGAGCTGCCATGTGGGTGCTAGGAATTGAACCAGGATCTTCTGGAAGAATTGCCAGTGCTCTTAACCACTGAGCCGTCTCTCCAGCCCCTCCTTGTGGCTTTCAATCTCTTATTCCTCAGACTGAATTTCCATTGTGTTCCAGTTTGCTAGTTCCTTCCTTAGTCTGCCTACAGCTGCCTTTGTCTGTTTTAGGAGGCTTTACTTCAGTTACCATACTTTTCCTTGTGTCTTTACATTTTTCGTTTTATTTTCATTTTGTATTGTTTCCACATCATCTTTTAGTTCTCTTATTATCTTTAAGATGGTTGTTTCAAGGCCTTTGTCTAGCAAATGTGTTACAATGCTTTCTTGGAACTTCTGTGGTTTATTTTCCTGTAAATGAGCCATACTCTACTTTTTGTCTTTTAACTTTGTTGCTGAAAATGGATATTTACGTCTCATGAAGTAGCAACTATCAAAGTCAGGACCTCCCCCTTCCCTGGGATCTGCAGGTTTTGTTTTTGTTTTTTAAGCTTACTGTTGTTCTCTCTCTCTGTGCAGAGAACTAGCTGGAGCCTGCACCTTTCCCTAGGCACTTTCCTCCCATCTGTAGTTGCTTTGAGACAAGCCACTTTTATGTAGTCAAGGATGATATTGACTTCTCATGCCCACATTCCAAGTGCACCAATGTTCTGAGCATGTGTTATTTTTCAGTGTCCTAGTCTTTATTGTTGGCTTCCTATACAGGGAGAATGAAGAAGAGGTACTGCCCCTTAGACCTGCTCCTCATCCTCCATCCCCATCTTTTCAGGCAGAGAGTGAATGAATGACTTATAGCAGTGCCCCTCAGTAACCAGAACTTCTGTACTTGATACTGGGAGGACAGGGTCTGCCTTGCCTACCCTGCTTCCTGCATGTTGAGTCTGGGTGGCTGCTGCTATACGGAACTGAGCTTAGCCTGAGCTGGCTGCACTCACTATCAAAGCCTGTAGTGACCTCTAGGCTGCAAGGTAGCCCATGCAGATTCTCCCAGTGCACTTGTCTGGAGGGGAAAGATTCCTGGAGATCTTCCTTTAGAGCACAGACACAGTTGTCCAAGCCTGGAGCCAGTGATGTTGGAGGCCTTTTTGGACACTTTTTCTGTCCTCTGCCCCAGGATCTACTGCAACCTCCCTCCCTTCCAGTTAGGTGTTGCCTTGTGACTGGCCTTGGTGGCAGGTTGGTACCAAGGTCCATGCATTTGACAGAAACTGACATGCATCCTCTGATTCACCCCTTCAGGTTGTTTGGGCCCAAAAGGAAGATGACCTCTGCCATTGCCCGTTGGCACAGTAGTGCCCGCCCACCTAGTGATGCCCTGGAGCTGGCCTATGCCGACCGGCTGGAGGCTGAGATGCAGGAGCTTGCCATCCAGCTGCACAAAGTAAGTCAGGTGGTCCAGGTGGGCTGTGAATACAAGGAGGCAGAGTACACCTAGAGTCACACCTTTATAGCAGAGGTTTCAGCAGGAGACTAGAGACAGAGGAAACTTGAAGAGGAAGATGGAACAGTCAGGTGAATATAGGAGGGAAGAGCCAGTTAGAGAACGTGGCCCCTGTAGACTTGGAAGATGAAGGATGGAGCCAAAGGAGTGATTCCTAGGGCAGGTTGGGGAGGGAAGATAGGCAGCCTAGCAGACTTCATGCTCTTTGGGGAATCAGCGAGTGTGGGCCCTAGCCTCCTGGCCTGGGACCTCTAGCTCGGTATCTGCCTGCAGTGCTGTGAGGAGGCAGAGGCCTTGCGTGGCCAGGTGTCCCAGGAGCAGGAACTGCGGGCTGTAGTAGAGAGCTGCCTCCTGGAGCAGGATAGTGCCCGAAAGGATATCCATGACCAGCTACAGGAGGCCCAAACCCTGGCCCAGGATGCTGCCCTTGTTCTGGACCAGCTGCGGTAAGTAGGCTCACACCCAGTTAGATGCTCACACATTGTCATTATCCCTTCCTAATCCTCTAAGCAGGTGAGAAGTGGGGGAAACCATAGTGCCTTTTCCTGTGGAGACCCAGGCTTGACTAAAAGCAGGCTGGGGATCTGCATTTCTTTCCAGATAACTAGTGTGGGCCTTCTCGGGCTGGCTACAGGGCTGAGGTTTTCCTTACCCTGGTTTGGGTTAGGGTTGGCAGCAGGGCCTTTTCTACACTAACACTTGGTCATGTCCTTCAGGGCCTGTCAAGCTGAGCTGTCAGCTCGAGTGAGGCAGGAGCAGTCCCCCAGTGAAACTACCCAAAGCCCATTCTTTCTCCCTGGAGGTAAGAAGAGCAATAGCCTGGCTACGGCCAAAGACAAGGGTGGGCAGAAAGCCCTAAGCTAAGTTTCAACCAGTGGGTTCCGCATGGCTGTCATAATGGCAACCCTGTCCCCAGAACAAGCCCACTTGTGCCAAGGGATACACTTACATTTAGGGGGTAGGTGGCACGTGTGTAAGGCCCTTTGTTTCATGGCTTACTGTCTTTAATACCTCTAGTGGAGTTGGGTGGCTGCTCCCAGGGTTTAGCTTGGCTTAGGCCTGAGCCGTAAGCGCTAGTTACTAAGCGTGTAGTTGGTACACCATGAGAGGCATCCCTGCCTAGGTGGTCCCTCAGGTGCATCAGCAGTGAGTGAGGACACACCTTTGGTCAACTCACCCTTCTCTACCACAGATTCCAAAGGCTGGCCTATTCCCCTGCAGTCCTTGAGCCTCCCTGAGTTATCAGGGGCCCTGGAAGACCGTGTCCATGAGATGGGTAAGTCTGCAGGAGGGCATCCAAGACTTTAACCTCACCCTTTCCCAGACCCTCTTCCAAGGACTGAGGCTGAGACCTGACCCCCCAAGCTGGCCATACCCAGTCAGCTCAGACTTCTGGGTAGTCTTACCCCAGGGACACCTGTTCCCCGTACCCTGAGTTTCCCTTCTACCCTGCTGCTGAAACTTGACCACAGAATACTCATTAATTGATCCTGTCCTTAGGGCAGGCATTATGCTCTGTACAACAGAGCCTGGAGAAACTACAGATGCTGAATGGGAAGAAATGGCAGGAACCGTAGCCAGGAGGAACGGTGAGATTACCTACCACATGTCCATGGGTGCCCTGGACCACCTAACATTCTTGTCCCCTTCTTAGCAGGCTCTCTCTCTCTCTTTTTCTTTGAAAACAAATTTATTCAGATTCTGACGTTGGGTGATGGATCCACCCTGAAGTTATGTGCCATGCAAGACAGGGCAGTGAGGACATGGCTGCAGCAGCCCAGGGAACGCAAGACCAGCCCAGGGAGCAGCTTGTGGACGGGAGGACAGGACTCCGGGCCCCACTATGGCAGCTTGGGCCAGCCCTGGGGCAGGATGAAGGGCCTGCCACCCAGATCCTGGTGGAAAGGCCCCAAGCTGGTAGGCAGCCTTGGCTCAGACCAGGCAGGGCTGTGTGGAGAGAGTGTGTTCCGCACATTCAGGTGCCACTAAGGTTTGATCTTACAGGTGAGGTCTGGGGTGGCTAGAAAATGTGCTGTTTGTGGGAAAATAAAATTACATACAAGTTGGTGGGGGCTCATTTCTGATGACCTGACATGAATTCCTAGGTGACATCAACAGACCCTAGTAGACCATGTATAGTCACTTTTTAGCTCCACCCCTGGCTGTGGGGTCTCTCCCCTGCTCCTGGACCATTCCAAAGCCCCAAAGTGGACCTGGCAGAGACAGCCTTTCTTACCCAGCCAGTCTTGAACTGTGGGAATTTTCCAGCCATACCAGTGTTTCCACATGAGGCTATAAAGCTGCCAGCAGTGACATTCCTATCCCATGGAGCCACTTCTATTGTCCCTTTGCATACTAAGTCTTTGCTACCATGAGAGCTCAACTCAAGCTGCCAGCCAGATTGGCTGCCCTCAGGGATGGTCGTGTTCCTGGGCCCAACTTCCACACACCTCAGGGAAAGATGTGGCCATTCCACTCAGAAGCAAAGAGCATCAGAGGAATGGCTTTATTGTCTTCTTCCATCCTCAATTTCACAGAGCTGAGCCAAAGCCCTCATGGGAAAAACAAAGCCATGTGGGGCACAGCCATTCTGAAACCAACCCACAGTTCACACACCAAGAAAGAAAAACCTAACAGAGAAAGTCAACAACCTCCCAGATGAACATCCTTCCTCAAGCTGGATCAGGTTCTGGGTTAAGGGAAGGAGTGATCGATCACCTCCATTGAACAAAACCCCAGACCAGTCCAGGAGCCGTGTACCAAGCAATCAGTTGCCTTAGAAGAGTGGGCTGTAGCTGGGACTCCACCAGTCATGAAGAGAGCCATACAGGACAGTTTGAGCCTTGGGATGGGTGAGAACATCTTCAGCTTGAAAAGCCAGGCCCATGCCACCCCATTGACCAACCTGAGAGGGTAGCTAGGTGCCAGGGACTGCTTGGGACAGTGAAGATGAAGAGCTGCCTGCATGTCCCTTGCAGTCAGAAGGGGTGCAAAACCAAACACTAGAAGGCACACTTCTTGGGAATTCCAGGACCTGTGGGCAGAAACAGCCAAAGGAGGGGCAAGAACCTGCACAGGAACCTCCTCAGGACGAGGTCGGGAGCAGCTTTTCTAGGGCCTTCTTCTGTTTCTCTGTGGCTGAGGCCAAAGCCTCGGCCAGCTTTTCCGAGGGCATCATGTTGAGAACCTTAAGGGCAAACAGGAGCTGATACTTGGCAGTGCTGACGAAGGCGTTGCTCAGGAAGTTAGGAAAGCCTCCTACTCGATCCTTCTGAGTGTACAGTGGGACACGAACAAGGCCCAGCACCTGTGGGACAGACATGAGGTAGGGCTGGGCTCTCCTTATAGAGGCAGGACCCTGCCAGGGTCTGGCCAGGCAAGGCTGGTAGCAGTAAAGCCCCTTCCCGAGCCCCTTCAAGGCCAATACTATGCACCCCCACCCTACCTACCAGCAGGAAGCTCATATACCAGCACCCCATAATCCCTGGCCTCCTCAGGCTAGAGGATCCACAAATCCCAAAGCTTTCACATTACATCTCAGAGGACACTCCCAAACACTACAGTCTCTCTGCTCTGTTCTCAATTTCCCAAGCAGGCCCTGAGCATCCCTTGTTTCCAGTGATCCCATGTCCCACTCCCAGGATTGACAATGGCAGGCAGCAAGGCAACTGTAAACAGCCCTGGGCCCAGAGGCCAGTGCCTCTTCCTACCCAGCATGGCCAGGGTGAGGCCCTTGAGGTGCACATGTTACCCATCGATGCCTTCTGTGATGCCAGAGCCAAACCTCAGGAGCGGGAACGGGGGCGGGCCTCGGGCAGTGGTCCCACCTCCAGGCCGTGGTCCCGCGAGTGCACAGCGCTGATCTCCACAGCATGTAGCTGCTCCAGTGTCAGCTGCCGTGCGTACAGGTGTGCCACCACACGGTGTGGACCCTCGGTCAGGTGTGAGCTCAGGTAGTCAGCTTCAGTAAGGCGCAGGCCGCCCAGGCCCAGGCCCAGCACCCGGTTTAAGCCATCCTCCAGCGACCAGAAGCGCCGGTCCACGAAGCCCCCAGGGAAGCCCAGCAGCCCATCGAAGCGCATCTGCATCTGCAAGGTAAGCCGGGTGAGTACGCGGGGTCCACAGGGTGCCCCAAACCTGTAGTATCCGCCCTGCTAGCCCGCCTAGCGCCTCACCAGCACTGAGAAGCGCATGGGGATACGGCCGAAGAGCTGCCCAGGATTGGCGGCATACAGCATGGCGTGGCAAGAGTGGCTCCAGCCGGGTCCCAAGCGCATTGCTTCCTCCCGGCTGATCTGCTTTAGCTCTGGAACCGTCATGGTCGACATCTTGATGTGCTCCAGGCCCACTGCCCAAATGAGCATGCGCGACCCCGCCCACGACACACGGACCCAATCCACTTGCATCCACGTGCATAGGCCCGCCCCCACCAATCCGGAGGGTCAGGGTTGAATCCAGAAAAGAATGGAGTTCCTGGCTGGGGTCGCGGTAATGGGTGGGGTGAGAGGGTGGAGTTTTTCACCCTCCAAAGCTGCACAAGAGAAGACTACAGAAGACTACAACTCCCAAGACGCACCGCGCGGAAGTAGGAAGTCAGGCTGTCAGAGGGAGGCACACTGAGCATCAAGGTGTGCCAGTCTTAGTCCAGGACATCTTTGCCAGGACAGTGGTAAGTATCAATATCCACCTCATCCCTGAGGGAGCAGATTTTCCCGAGGCTCCACCCGGAGCTTGTGGCTCCATAGCGCATCAAGGTGTGCCAGTCTCAAATCCAGGACATCCCCGAGAGGAGAGCTGGAAGTCTCAATAACCACCTCATCTCTGAGGGAGCAGATTTTCCCCTGAAGCTCAACCTGGAGCTTGTGGCTCCAACTGCCCTGTGACACCACGCCTTTAAAGACTTAAGCGTCTAAGTGACTCCAGCCTAAGTGCCCAGGGACCTGAGCCTTAGCGGCTTTGCCCTTCTCAGGCACATGGCTAGTGCTCAGTAAACATCCGAAGAGCTGGGATAAATGTAAGAACTAGGGGAAAAAAAACAAAAAACAAAAAAACACCTACCTAGAGGCTGAGATCCATCAACTGTTCAGTAGAGGTAAGCCAAATTCCAAGTCTGGCTTCACTCCAGACAAAGCAAGCAACAAAACAATAGCAATAAACCTTTGCCTGTGTTTGGAGGGCGTACTCACTGCCCCTCTCACAAAAGCAAATGAAGGCAACACCAAAATCTGTCAGAAACCATCAGAAGCCACTCAGTGTCCTGTCACCACATCAAGAACCAACTGCCTGCCCACAGTGCTGTGCCAGAACAAAGGCACACACAGAATATTGCTGCATGATTTTATTACTATAAATATACAGTAAAAATGAACCCAAAACTAGCCAATCAGAGTACATCAAATGATAGCACATGTGAATCTGAGACAGGTGACTGTGCAGTCTGTATCTCATCCACCTTTCGAAGTACTGGAACCAGTCTCATGGCCAGAGGCCAGGGTGTTGGCAGGTGAGAAGTGAGGGGTGGGCATGCACATGCTGACTGTGTGCACAAATGTGCACTCAGCAGGACAGAGCAGATGGGTGCAGACAGAGCACTGCTCACAGCTTTACCAGAGACCAGGCTAGCCACTGCTAGGAAGGAACAGAGGCAGAGCCAGAGCTCAAGCAACCCTGAGCCTAAGGGGTGCTCCATGCATTGCTACAGGCTGTCACCTGGGTGAGAGCAGGGCAGCTCCCTGGGCTGAGGCCCCTGTACCTAACCACCGGGGGAGCTGCACTGCCTGGGGCACCTCTGCCCTGGGGCTACCCACGCCTTAGAAACAAAGTAGCACTAGACCCTGCTCCTAAGTGGGCTCTGATAGGAGCCTTAGACAGTAAGGAACACAAAAGAACATTTAACTGGCAATGGATCTGCTAAGAAAAGCTACTCAGGCTCTTCCCTGGCAGGTGTTGAGCAGTGCTACCCTGCAATCAGGAACATCTTCATTTTGGAGGCATGTGAGGAAGTGAGTGAAGCAGGACCTGTAAGGGGTTCTGGATACCAACTACTGCAAATGGCTGTGGTGTTAACACAGTCTTGACTACCCAGGCCTTGCCCATAGCTGCCCCAGCTGCCAGAGGTCACTGGTAGTGAGAGAAGAGTAGGAGGGGACCTGGAGGTTCCAAGAACGGTCACCGATGGTCAGGACAATAAAGTGAAAGCAGCAGTGACAGTGTGGCTGCCTTGGGGAACACACATGGGACAGGCAGACACGTACTGCTTCCTTCATCAACCATAATCTGGGTTTCCCACCTTCCAGAACATTTGTGAGGATGACACTTCACTCCACGGGTTGATTCTCTTCTGCTGGTTTGCTAAGTGCTCAAAGAATCAACCTTGACAGTTGGGGAGAACCCCTCTAGGGTGTATGGCCCATGGAAAAAGCTGCTGTCCTTCATCTTGTACCATTTACAAATATATCGACCATAGAAAAGGTGTGGAGGAACAACCCACTGTGCAATATGATCAAGGTTCACTGTGGCCCCTCAAAGCCCAGTGGGCACATGAGGCGTGCAGACAGGAGAGGCCAGGGTTTTGCTGGGGTCCAGGGAAGCCTCCTGGCAATGTTTGGTATGTCGAGGGCTCTGTGCTGCCAGCTGAGCCAGGCTCTCAGAGTGGGGTCAGCTCAGTAGCTCCAGGCTCAGGACTAGAGCCACTCAGCAGAGGCCAGGGGGCACTGGTGGTGCCAAGGCTGTGTGGCGTCTCCATGGAGGTGGACCATCCTGTAAGTGGGAGCAGAGGATAGAGGGGTTATGAGGGGCTGGTGGTCACGCATCTATTCCCATCAACCCAGAGCCTCATGGGGGAGGACCATCTAGTACCCTCCACCCTCCACATGCCATCTGGCAGGAAGAGTAGATGTAACCTCATAGAAAGCTAGGGACCCTTTCATCATAGGGAATGAGATACATCTGCTCCCGATACCTGGGACAGGTCAGCCCTTGGCACTAGGCAGTAGAGCTGCAGGCACCGGGTAGTTGTAGGCTGCTGGCCCCTGGGTCTCCTGCCCTCAGCAACACAGTCCAGCCAAGAGCTTTATAACTGGGTTAGCTGGAGTTCACCCAGCTCTAGCACAGGGAATGGGGAGCAGATTTTGGAATAAAGCAAGCTGGTACTTGGGCAGCCTGAGCAAGCAGCCACACTGGAGCAGAAGCAGGCCCAGAGCCTGTCTTCCACAGAGGCCTGCTCTGCCTGGTCCCAGATGGCAGCTCTATGGTGCTGTGCAGTGTTATCTCAGGGCAAAGGTTGTTTTCAGGAGCATCGGTGACACAGACAACCCAGTTCTACTCTCTTCTTTAGGAGCTGTGGCTTCAGGACAGGCAATCTGCGATGCACCCCTTAGCTGTGACCTAAGTTCCAATCTAACCCCAACAGCTGCCCCTTCCTCCTACAGAAGTTATAAATAGCACTGTCGATGTTTCAGGAGCACAGCTCAAGGGGAACAAGCAAGTTCTGAGAAACCATGAACCCCACAATCAGAGAAGCAGCACAAGGTCTGGCTCCGTGGCTCATGGGTGAGGGCTGCAGTCTAGAGGTCTGGAGACCAACTAGGTACTTCCCAGACAGGCTGTGTGAACCTGGCTGCCATGGCACCAGGAGAGTCCCTGCCTGTCTGCCTAGTTGACAGGTATGCTTCCGTAACCAGCACTCCAGGGCACCAATCCCACTGGTCCCTAACACTCTGTGGCAGGTTTCAGAGATAGGATAGACAGGTTCCCAGTGGCAATGATAGTCTCAAGACAGAAAAGCTCAGCAGTCCACAAGAAAGCTGTATTTCAGATAAGAGGCCAGAGGTCACAGTGACAAGTGAAGGAGAATATGAAGAATGCCCTCTGCACAGGAATTAAGAGACAAGGTTTCTCTTTGTAGCCCTGGCTGTCCTGCAGCTCCCTCTCCAGACCACGATGGCCTGGAACTCAAAGGTCCATCTGCTTCTGCCTCCCAAGTGCTGGGATTAAAGGTATGTACTACCATGCCTGACATTATATTTTTTTAATGTGTTTTTTTTTTTAATTTTCATTTTATGTGTAAGTGTTTTTCCTACATGTGTCTCTGTGCAACAGTTACATGCCTGGTGCCCAAAAAGGCCAGAAGAGGGTGTCCAGTCCCTTGGAATTAGAGTTACAGATGGTTGTCAGCTGCTGTGGGTACTGGAACTCAAACCAGGGTGTTTTTGAAGAACAGCCAGTGCTCTTAACCATTGACCTTTCTCTCGGGCCCCATAGAACATAACAGACCTGGGAGGACACATCTGTCTCACAGTCTAGCACACTGATGGGAAGGATAGGCGATCTAGGGCCTCCCATGGCCAGTGCAAATTTGAACTACTGCTTAAAACCACAACTGCAACAGACAAAGGAGGAATGTATATCAAAAGCTTGTTCGGGCTACAGAACAAGTTCAAGGCCAGCCTGGGGAACTTATTAAGATCCTGTCTCAAAAAGTAAAGAGGGCTGGAGATATATTCAATGGTTGAGAATCTTCCTAGGTCCAATCCTAGTACTGAATTTTGTCCTTAAAAGCTACAGTCAGACTACTGTGTGCAGCCTACAGGATGTTACTGCACATGCTCCTAGGGTTCCCTGATCCTCGAACTCCTTCCCCTACCAGGGACAGTTACTCCAGAAGCCTGCACTGAGTCACCACTGTTCAAGGGACCCTACATTATCACTTTAGAAGAGCCTGAATGGGCACCTGTCCAGATGGAAGACCCCTGGCTCCAAAGCCAGGAACGCCAGGAGGCCACCTTTTAGACAAAAAGGTGCAGCAACCATCGGTGGCTCTGGATTCTGAATTCAGAAAAGCCCCTCAGAGGATTGGGCTCTTCTCTGCAGATGTACCCAGCCAAGCCACCAGAAGTGTGGAGAAAAGGTCACGTACCAGCTTACTCCTCTATACCAACAGAGCACGACTCAGGACCCAGGGCTGTGCAGAGAGGAGGGAAAGACAGATGGAGCTCAGTTAGCAGAAAGATACAGACTTTAGGGTCAGGGGTGGGAACTATCTGGAAACAGACTCCCCACACCTCACTTGCTGCAACCAAGAAATAAGAACCACCAGGATAGACCTTTCTAATAAACTTTCTAATAAAAAACTAAACTAACAACTTTCTAATAAAAAGAGACATGTGGCTGTGTGAAGGCAACAGGCTATGGAGGCCAGGCTATTGGACGATGGAGAGGCCCTGGCAGAGGCACCTAATTTTTCACTGTTTCACCTAGGTTTTCCACTGCTTTGCTTCTTCCATCTCCAAGGGACCTGGATTCAGTGACTTCAGCTGCAGCTAGAGGACAGTGGTGCAACTGTCAGAATGTAAAGACGCCAGCTGCATGTATGTTCCTCACAAAGAGAAGATGCAGCCTTCTCAAACAGAAGCCAGCAGAAGAGATAGGCCATTGTGCGAGTGAGGAATACACACAGGTGTGTACAACTGCCACATACCCTGTTTCCACCCTCCAGTGCTGACACGCATTATGGCTCTTACAGGATGTGCAGGATAGCAACCTGCGATCCTGCCATGGAGCAGGCCTGTATAATGGTTCTCAGAGTGGGGCTAGGATCCAAAGCAGTCCCTGGGCAGAGCTGGCCAAGAACAGCTCTTCTCCAACTCTGCACACAGATCCAGCCTCCCTATCTCTGACCTCCTCCCACTTGGTGGACCTAAACAAGCTTAGACCCTTGCCTACGTTGTTTCTGCGGCCAGTGCTGATGTGCTGCAGGCCCTCAGGGCCACCTGCAGGAGCCAAGCTCACACTGGTGACTCAAGAGGCCCACGGACCTCTCCTGACTCCCTGTGAGCCAAATTAACAAAAAGGATGGATACTTGAGGTGCTTCCAAGAACATCCCAGAATCGTGTTCTTTTAGGATGTGCTAGTTCTAAACATGCTTCACCTATGGGTTTGTTTTGAAAAGGCCATAGTATGATCTAGTAAGATACAACATAGTGATCTAGTAAGTGTTCTAGCAAGACAGCTGCTCTCCCACAGAGGATGACCAGATGACCCCTGTATCCTAGTCAGCTTCTATGGGTCACTTCACACCCAGAAGACAGGGACAGATGGAGGCCCTTTCCACCAAAGGATGTCACAATCCCCCAATACCAAGCAGCCCTGAAAAAGTGAGCAACACTGGCCTCAGGGTCAAGCAGGGGCAAAAGAGTTTCCCTGCCATGTGGGAGCAGCTCCTTAAGTAGCTGCTTCTAAGAAGCGGTCTTAGCCTGGAGGGGACAGAACTCCACAAGGAGATCAACTGAACCAAAAAATCTGGGTCCAAAGGGGTCCTGCAGAGACTGATCCTCCAACCAAGGACCATGAATGGTCCCCTGCTCAGATGTAGCCCATAGCAGCTCAGTCTCCAACTGGGTTCCCTAGAAAGGGGAATAGGGGTTGTCTCTGACATGAACTCAGTGGCTGGCTCTTTGATCACTTCCCCCTTGGGGGTGCAGCCTTGCAGAGGAAGATGGTGTAGCCAATCCTGATGAGACCTGATAGGCTAGGGTCAGATTGAAGGGGAGGAGGACCTCCCCTATCAGTGAACTAGGGAAGTACATGGGAGGAGGGAGAGGGAAGGAGGGGGCTAACAGCTGGGATACAAGTGAATAAATTGTAATAAACAAACAAACAAACAAACAAACATAAATAAATAAATAGAAATTTTAAAAGAACTGGTCTTAGAAGGTGTGATGGCTGTTTATCCGAATTCCCAAAGACCAGAACTGTTGTAAGTCTGAGAGACCCATTTTACCCCAGATTTGGAGCCCCAGGTGTGAAGCTAAAGACTTTATCCCAGCAGAGCAGAGACAGGAGGAAATAAGCGACAGCCTGTGCTTGAACCTCCGAAAAAGAACATCAAGCCCCTGGCCCACTGCCAGTGGCCCGAAAGGGCATCCCACACTAAGCCAGCCCTCTGGCCTGATCAGGAATGTGCTGCTGTATGCCTGGACAGCAGCCCAGGTCAGCCCCAGGCCCATGTCTCTTTGGCATGGGCCACAGAGGAAAGAAGACTGTAATTTCAGCAGAACTAGACTGGTTTCCCTGGGCCTCAGCAGACAGCTGACAGAGAAAGGACTCTGTCCTTCTGCCAGCAGTTTGTCTTGCCTTCCTCGGGCCAACTTCACCTAGAGTGGTAAAGAACCCTAGAAAGCCAGCAGGCAGACTAAGCCTGGCCCGACTCTGCTGTGGAAATTAGCAAAGTATTGCTTAGAGCCAGAGAGAGGACCTGGGCTCTGAAGTGATATAATAGGTCTCCAAGACTCCCCTTTCCGTTCCCTTCCCTCCCCTCTGGGACAAAGGCCAGCTCTACCCAAATGTCCCTACAGCACTTGGTGTTACCTGGTAGGTAGATGTCAGCAGGAGGGACTGGCTGGCTGCAACCATGGTGCTGTGGACTGCCATCCTGCAGGACATCATCAATAGAGGGTACTCGGCTCCCTGTAGCAAGTAGAGCAAGATTAGGACACACAGGTAAGGACATGTCTTTGTGGTCCACTCTGACCCCATACACTCCAAGGACCACAATGGTGGGCATATACATGAGGTGGGAAGTTTTGTTTTGTTTCAAAGCCAGTGTGGTTGATGCCAACTGGTAGCTGTCCTTTGCTCTTCCTTGTAGCTGGACAGTCAGGAGTGGTCCTATTACCCCAAGTGGTGGTGAGTTGCAAAGCAACTTTCTGAAGCAGACCTGAGGACCATGGCTAACTTTGCCTCACACATGTCCTCCCTAGGTGGGAAACTAAGGCCTTGCTTGAGGCAGTGGACAGAAATACATGGCCAGGCTAGAGAGGCTGAAGTGACAGCACACTGCTCCTAGAGGGTGCCACCCCACTCACACCCAGGGCTGCAGATTCCTGCAGGTGGGCCTCACATGGAGGAGGGGGACTCTCGGCAGAATGCAGGGTACAACAGAGCAGCTGCAATTACATGGTGGCTGGGGTGGGGAGAATCACCATTCTATGGGCCTCACTGCTAGTTAGAGCCATGTCACAGTCAAGTGGCCTTGGGCCTCCCCTAGATGCCAGCCTTGAACCTTGCTTTACTTTTCTGTCCAGCACTAACATGGCAAGGACCAAGCAGAGGCTTGAGGGTCTCCTTACCACCCTACATGACCAGCAAGAGGGGTGGGGGAGCCCAAGCTTCCTAGGCTACCCACTAAGCTCTTCAGCATAAGGAGGTAATTAAGGAGATATCAGCTATCCTCAATTCATCAGGAAAAGAGATAGCCAGCCAACTCTAAAAGATACCAGGACAAATAACTCCCACACATGGGCAGGCTTTTCTGGACACACTTGGAGAGCTAGCCAGCAACACAATGCCCTTACCATTCTGCACACTGACTGTCCAGGTTCCTGAAGGCAAGAGCCAGGGGGAATGCCCCTAGCCAGGACCCAAAGCATGCCAAGGACTCACTCAGGGCCAGGCCTGGGAGATGGGGCTTACCTTGCTTTATGACAGGCTCATCCACCTCTTCTGTTCCAAAACTCTAGGAAACAAAGAAGAAAGGCCTCTGCTTCAAACATCTCAAGCCTAAAGGGACAAATTCCTGAGCCTACGTTGAGAGCAGTGGGCAACAGATGCCACCCAGGACACAAGGACGTCACTGGAAGGCAGGTTTCACATGTGGCCTTGTTTATAAGCCCTCAAAGTGACTCCACCACAGGGCACCCGAGCCCGTAGTCAAGGACACTGATTTGTCTGGCTGTGGCACCAGTATGCCAGTGTCTAGAGGGTTAGGGAGAGGTCAGAATCAGTGAGGGAGGCCTGGAGAAGGCTGGCCAGGGCCTCACCAGAAGCAAGCCTCACCTCAGGGGAGCTGCTTTCCCGAAGCGCCAGCTCCACACCGCTTGGTGGGAGAGGAGTGTCAGAGTCCTCCGAGAGTTTCTCCTCATCCTCCTCATGGATGGGGGATGATGGAGACCGCAGGGTGCTGGGGAAAGGAGGGAAGCAGGGTTGTAGGATGGCTAGATGAGGAATGCAACCCTACAGAAAGCCTAACGGACCAGCAGCCTTTGCATATACACCTGGAGGCATATAAGAAAGGCCCCTGGGGAGGGGGTGGCATCTTTGCAAAGATTCAAAAGTAAGCCTGCTCAGTAGAGGTTCCCAAGGGAGAAGTGTGCGTTAGCACAGACCCAAACAACCAGAAAGATGGGCCTGCCCAACAGCCTCATGCCCTCCAAGGACTGGAGATAGCCCGGCATTAGGAGAAGAGACATGGAGCCCATGACAAACAGCAGAAGGGACTGTGGGTCTCGAGTTGTTCTGCCATGTGCACAGCAGCCTAGGCAGCTTGCAGAAGACATAGCTTTCTTATACTTTTGTCCTTGAGGGAGTCAGCACAGCAAGACTGGCCAGCTACCCCATGTTAGTCTCTGAGGAAGCAAGACCTGCTCTTGGCCAGCCTGAGGAGTGTGGTACCTGAGAGGCCCCTTGTGATGTTGGGGATGAAGCTGTGAAGCTCTACAGTGGGGCACTGGCCTGGCATGCACACAGCCCTCCAGAAACACAGATACACAAAACCCATCCCAGACAGAAGAAGAATGTCTAGGGAACACAGAACCTCAAAAAGTTGTACTCTAGATACCAACTCATCCAATCACTAAATTAATTCAAGGCTGTTTGCACAAGAAAAACAGCTTGAGTGATGGTACATGTTTGTAATCCCAGCACTTGGGAGGTAAAGGCGGAGAATCAGGGGCTCTAGGTCAGCCAGCCTAGGTTGCAATGAGAGCATCTCAGAAGAATCAAAAAGAATACGGGTGCCAGGTGGTGGTGCACACCTTTAAGGCCAGCACTCCAGAGGCAGAGGCAGGCAGAGCTCTGAATTCAAGAACAGCCTAGTCTACAGAGGGAGATCCAGGGCAGCCAAGGCTACATAGAGAAACCCTATCTTGAAAAAAACCCAACCAACCAAACAAACAAACAAAAATCTGATGTCATACTTAGGAAAATTGATAAAACTAGAGATTATGTTAAAAAACAAAAAAATAAGCCAGACTCAACTCTCTCATACACAAAAATCGAGATTTAAAAATAAGTATATTAACATATAGGACATGAAAGCAAAGGGGACTATGTGGAGAAGTAGTGGCCAGAAAGGGGTAGTGACAATGAAGGGTAATAAAAATGATATACAATGAGGCTACTTAGAGAGTGTATGGGGCCAGTATGGGGTGTGTGGGAGGTGTATGGGCACAGTAATGATATAGATGTATGAAATGTCATACTGATTACCATTATTTTGTATGCTATCTAAAATAATATTAACAGAAAAAAAGGGACAACCTAGCAAAAAATATCCATTTAAGTTCTAATGCTATTATAAAAGCAATGGTTACAGCCTGTTAAGAGAAAGCCACGGCCATCAAATGAACAGATAGAGAAGCAGTGGAAAGAGCTGTTGCTCAAAACCTGTAAGGGAGCACACATCTGGCTCAGGAGACATAGGTGGCAGCAGCAGCAAGGTATGCTGGTTAGTTTTGTCAACTTGATACAATCTAAGGTCATCAGAGAATAGAGAGCTTATTAAAAATTTATTAAAAAAATGCCTCCATAAGATTGGGCTGTAGGCAAGCCTGAAAGGCTTTTTCTTAATTAATGATTGTTGGGGAGTCCATTGCAGGCAGTGGTCCCTGGGCTGGTGGTCCTGTGGTCCTATGATAGCACGCTGAGAAAACCATGAGGAGCAGGCCAGCAAGCAGCACTCCTCATGGCCTCTGCAATGGTTCCTCCCTCTGGGTTCCTGCCTTGTGCAGTAAGATGTGGAAGTGTAAGCCAAATAACCCCTTTTCTCCCCAACTAGCTTTTCATCATGGTGTTTCATCACAGCAACAGGAACCCTAATTAGGGCACAAGTTATACCTGCTTCACACCTCAGCATCCCGGCTGTCACTGATGGTTCTTTGGTAAGATACACTTATATGACCAGCCACCAAAAATGCCAAGATTCAAATCAGCTCCCTAGGCAGGGACATGGCACAGGCCTGCACAATTTACTGACAGCAAGCAGCTGGTATAGCTTGGGGCCTTGAGAACACTTGGAGCCTCAGCCCAGAACCTTCCCTAATGTACTCTTTGCTCTGTGTTGCTGGCTTTGACCAACTATGGCATAGTCTAACCTGCTGCTGGGCCTTTTGAATCCCGTGATCAAGGAACAAAATTTACAGAACTGAAGTTCTGTAAAAGCAGAGGAATGTTGCAAGTCTCGCATGCATACATGGCAGACCTCCCCACTCCCCACATGTACGCCCTCTTTCACTCAATGTGCAGACGCACCTCACCAAGCAAGACTGCACACTGGCCTCACCTGTCTGGAGACTTGCTTTGTGGCTTGCCCTTCTGTAGGCCACTTTCTATGATTCGATCGAGTCCAGCGAGAGGACAGCTGGCCTGGGAAAGACCGTCTGAGATGCCTGAGTAGGTGATTTCTTCATAGAGGGGGGCTGATGGGACAGCCGGGGAGACAGCTCGTAGACCATTGAGTGCTTCAAGCAAGGAGATGGGCTCATAGCCAGGTGGAACACTGTCAGAACTCTGTGGGGACAAAGCCAAGTAAGGAGGGACCAGACACAGCCATGAAGCCCCAGAAGTGGGACATTCTCCTCCCCAGACCTGCTTTGCTGACTGCTTTGACCATGCCACCTTCCAAGCACTTAAGCCCCTTGTCAAAAACTACCTTGCAGAGTAGACGCCATCCTGCTCAGGATTCCCTTGGCTATCAGCTCCAGAACACACCCCAATACCCAGATGTCCAGAATGATCATCTGGGGCTGCAAAAGCCACTGACCCCATCATTGCCAAGCCCCTACATGGCTTGCTGTTTCCACCTTGCAGGAGTAGAAAGTGTGAGGGGTTAGTGACAGCAAGAGAACTCAGGAGCAGGCAGAGCAGAGCCATGCCAGAGGCAGGAGAACCTAGACCAGGGGAAGTATGGCCTCCAGGGACCCCAAGCAGGGTGGCAGTGGGGGTGTGGGTGGGTGCTAGCTACTGCAGCCACACCTCGGGAGTAGATGGCTTTGGCAGAGGTAAGGGAGCAGGAATGTGCCCAGCTTCTGGGGAATAGCAGTCAGGCCATGGAGTGCTGCAGAACTGCTGGACTGCTTCCACAGGCTCTCACAAACCAAGCAGAGGGGCAGTGCTCATAAGTGCTTCCTACGAAGCTCTGGCCTGCCCACCTCAGACCCTGTGAACAGGAGAAGGGAGCAGCACCCCTGGAGAACACTGTGTGCACCAGGCTGGTGCTGGTCCTCTGGCTAACTCTCACCTATTCCCACCTGCCTTCAACTTAAAGGTGAAGAACTGATCCCCACCCCACACCCTCTACAGAAGACAAACTCATCACTCCCCGAGTGGACATGTCAGTGAGACTCCAAGAAGAGGTCTGGCCTGGCTACTACCTGACTTCTGCTCTCCCTGTCTGACCCCTGGGGTGCAGGGAAAACGTCAGAAAACCAGAGTCCTCGGCCCAAAGAGCCAAACTTCAAGGGACAGCCAGCCAGGATGCAAGATGAATGAGCATGCAGGGAATCCATGTGCAAAAAGGAGCAGCGGCATCAGTTCCACCTTCAACATCCCTACCACTGCCAGCAAGAAAAAAAAGGGAAACAGGGCGCTCAGGAGCTCCAGCGGGCAAAGCTGCGAAGGAGGGCTGTGCCTGGGGCTGGCTACCACCTGGCACCAACACCAAAGAACTGGCTTTGTGCCAACAGACCTTCTGCTTTGCTTGTTCCACAAAACTCCCTTCCTGGACTGGGAGGCCAGGACTAGGGAGAGTGGATTTGACAAAGTGTGTTAAACATATTAGCCTGGGGTTAAAATGACTTCCCATACTTGTTGGTTTAAAAATAAGGGTCGGGGCAAAAACCAAAGCTATATGACCAAACACACTTACTGTTTCCCTTTTAGGTTTCTTGCTGGCCAGGGAGGCAGGGTGCGACTTTGATTTTTTAAAGGGACACTGTCAAAATAAAAATCACATGATTTACAACTTCTACCTCCACTTGGCATGCGGACTGGTGGGGCGAGGCAGGCCTCTGGTTTACTGCCCTCCATGCACACCCAGCAACTCCAAAACTACAGCTGACCTTAACACCACACAGCATAACAGGACTCCACGAAGGGCCTGCACATTAATCAGTTCCTGGGAGCCCTGCAGGGGGCCCCAGGCAGAAAGGAAGGGTATGGGACCCATCCTCACATCCTCAACTTAATCTACGCATGGGCTGAGTCTCCTCAGAGCAAGAGGTCTTGGCCAAGGAGACATGAGTGACTGGGCAGTTAGCCTCATCATTACCTTAATGACTCTCTGGAGACCTCATTTGAGTACTTCACAGAAATGGCCTCGACAGGGCAGGTGGCAGAGAACAAGCACCCACTTAGGTACTTAGAACCCTGCAAAAGGCAGGTGGTTCCCAGGGCAGATGAGATCAAGGGTACACCCACTCTGCAATCGGCTCATTTAGGATAACATGACAAACAGAAAGGGACCCATCTGACCCTCAACCACCAGGGCAAAACCAACCAACAAGCCCAGCAATGCCAAGCCCCTGTGGATCCCTCTGCACCACCAGGGCCCCTCCTTCATGGGGCAGCCCCACCTCAGAGCCATTTCTCCTGCACCCAGCAAGCACACGGTTGGTAAGTGTATGGATCTTCCACCAAAGCCCACACAGTATGCTGGAGGGCAGAGGTGTTTCAGGGGGCCTTGTATATGTGGCAGGGGCTGGCCCACTGCAGAGGGATGTTACAACTCTAGTCCAGGGGCCTGAAAAAAAGCCTCAGTTTTTGAAAGAGAGACCAAAAATCTGCATTTAGGGGACACTTCTAGGCCTTTAAATATTGGCAAAGACCAGATGCAGCGGCACACACCTTTAATCATAGCCCTCAGGAGGCAAAGACAGGTAGATCTCTGAGTTCAAGACCAGCCTGGCCTACAATGAGTTTCAGAACAGCCAGGGCTACACAGAGAGATCCTGTCTCAAAAACAAAACAAAAACAAAACAAAAACAAAAACAAAATGTTGGCCTAGTTTTCAGAAGTCTATGTACTCTGGATGTCCAGGGCACAGGGCTTATTGTTCTTTCCTCTTTGAAGAGCCAAGCCCTTCAAAGCCCACTAGTCCCTGTGGCAGATGTGCATGGGAGTCTAAGACAAGGCCTTGTCCCAGACTGAGCTCCTCCTCCCTCCCTCCTCCTCCTGCCTCAGCTTCTCCTGCAGACTCCTACCCATTTCTAGGCCTCTCTCCCCCTGTCTCTGAGCACATCTCAGACGATATGAGTCTCATCTCTTCATTTATGTTTCACTCTTTAGATCCTTTAATTGACAAGACCTTCCTGGTCTGACTGAAGCAAGATCTACCTAGGCAGTCTGTAGAGGGAACATCCAGGCTGAGGCTGAAGGCAGCCAATAGGCAGTAACATACAGATGCCCCTCTGAGGGTATTGCCTAAAACAGTGGAGAGGGTAGCAAACACTGAAGGTCCACCCTTGCTCAGCAGGCTCCTGTCAGCACAGCACAGCTAGTCCCTCATTAGTACCTCACAGGCTGCTGTGGGGCTGTGCCTGCCTAATAGACAAGATGAAGGAAGAGGAAAGGCACTTACAGAGTGCTCATCATGGTCCACACTTTGAGCCAAGACAGGGCTGAAGGAGATGGGAGACAGGGCCCCTGGCTTCTTCCGCACAGCCCGAATCTGCAGGAGAGCTCGGAATGCTGTGGCAGAAAGAGAAACATGTGAACAAGGATGCATCTTTAGAGGCATGGAAAGACACTCCAGACTGTGAACAGTGATGATACTATGTCACTCCCAGTGCCCCGGAACAAAGAACATGTTTCCAAATCAGAGGCAGACGGGACCCTTAGCAGATGGAGAACTGGCCAGTTCCTAAGGGTATGCAGGTAAGCAGCCAACAGCTGTCCAAGGAGCCCTCTGCAGTCACAGCAGCTGTGGCCACTACCCACCCTGGTAGGTGCAAACGGTGGAGACCACAGAGGTCTCCAGACGATAGACTTCTGCCTGTGAGCTCTTCAGAGCACAGGGCGAGATTAGGGAGGAGTGATATCTACTAAAGAAACAACTGGGATGGACACTGGTTATGTAGGAGAAAGGACAATTAGGTCAAAGGTCATCTCCTAGTGCCAGTTCTGCCTACAAAAGTGGCCTAGCAGGAAACAGAGTGACATTCCTAAGACACAGTGAGTGGCAGTGAGGCCCATGAATCTATGACAAATGTGCCATGAATCAGGATCAAGTAAAATATGCCATAAACCTGCACTGTGGTGCTGTGCAGTCTGAGCAGACCACAGCACAATGGCTCTTCTATCTATATCTGTATTTTTCAGTACAACCCCATTTTCTACCACGAACAGGCCAGTGATACCTTGGTCGGTGATGGAAAGCTTTCATCTCTACCTCCCATTTGAAGACTCTAACTTGAAGCCGTACCACAACAGGAAAATTCCAGGGGCCCAGTGGCAGGTTGTGGTACCTGCAGGAAGTTCTGGGCTGCCAATATGGAGCTGTGAATCCTACTTTCACTCACACCACGTGCTCTTCCTTGTCTGCTTGCACTGTTTTCGCTGTCTGTATATGCTGTCTGTACTATGACCCAAAGGAACTGCCACAGTGCTAACTCACACATTACATGGACACACACCTGACTCTCAGGGAACAACCACCGTGACCTGCTGCTTTCAGACAGTGGGGTCAAGAGCAGGAGCCAAAACTCTCACCAAGAAGCCATCTCCGACACTTCACTGGCCACTAGCCTGGGTGAGTTTCCTTAGAGTCTATGATGTTGGCAGACAATCTGACTCACTTTAAGGTTTTCAAAAATAGTTCCTATGTGACCTTGACAAGAGATGTTGTTCAGAGCGTAATCTGCCTGGTTCAAGTGTTACCACATATCGACCTTGGAGCACTTCTATGTCTTCCTTCTAGTCTTTCCCTGTCTGGACGCAGAAGGACCAGCATCACACCTTGCATGAAAAACTCATGGAGTTTCTATTTCTCATACAATAGGAAATGGTGGGCCCCAAACTGCCTGGAGTGGGCAGTCCCAGATCTCCTGCATCTTCCACACAGAACCCGGAGTATGCTCACGCAGTCGGCAGATGGGGCAGTTGTTGGCTTGGTACCGCAGCGTGTCAGCACAGGAAGTGCAGAGGCACAGGTGGCGGCAGGGCAAGATCAGCGTGTCCCGCAGGTCTGACAGGCACACCACACACTCACTGCTGTTGTCACTGTTCTCATCATCGGAAGGCTGTGGAGACAAGGGCCTGTGTGTCAGTGGCCTCACAGGAGCCTGAGGGCGGGCCTGATGCTGCCTGGAGCAAGCCCTCCTGTGTTTATGTGTGCCACCATCCCCAGAGACTATGTGGCAAGGGAGTAGGAGGTGTCGGGGACATGGCAGAGCCCCTCAAGCACCATGTGGGGAGCACCAGGCTCACACAAAGGGAGAACCCTTGCCTGCCCCAACCCTAGACATGTTATAAAGAAGCAGAGAAGGAAGGACACCTGAACTTGACTTTACAACAGCTGGGACTGTCTATTCAGCTAAAATAATTGAGCAGATCCAACTTGGAAATATTTTCATTTATATCAGCTTTCAGAAACCACACCAGGACCTGGAAGGAGAGCGAGCAAATATCTTCAGCATGACCTGGGTAGCCGAACCTGCTTGTTTCCTGGAACACTGCCACACTTAACCCTCTGTCTGGGGCTCCTTCTGAGTTATGGTTGCAGTACCAAGTAGCTGCCACAGAAACCAGATGGCCAACCTGGCATAGTGGCGGACATCTTTAATTCCAGCACTTGAAAGGCAGAAGTAGAGGGATCTGTGTGAGCTTGAGACCAGTCTGGTCTATATAGCGAGTTCCAGGACTGCCAGAGCTACATAGTGAGTCCCTGTTTTGAAAAACAAAACCACCGTAGGCTCATAAATCCAAAATGCTATCTGACCCTTGGTATTAACGCAAGTGAGCAATGTAGGCTCACCCAGGGTGAGCTGCCCTGCCTTCCCAGCTCCTGACCAGTTCCAGCTATCCTGATGCCACATGGAGGATAGCATGTGAGTTCTGGTCATGTTTGTTCATTAGCCCTGGCTGATCTGGAATTCACTATGTACAACAGACTGGCCTCAAACTTGCAGCTTTCCTTCCTCCGTCCTCTGCCTTCTGAGTGCTGAGAGTACAGGCATATACTACTATGCCAGGCTGACTTTCAAAGGTTTTAAAACCAGGTAGTCTGGCTGGACCACCAAGTCAGCTCAGTAAATAAACATGCTTGTTACTAAAGCTGAGTTCAATCCACCAGAACTCAACACTGTAGAAGACTGTCCTCTGACTTAAACACACACACACACACACACACACACACACACAGAGAGAGAGAGAGAGAGAGAGAGAGAGAGAGAGAGAGATTTCTAGTCCGCACACAAAACAGTCAACATATTGATTAACATCATTGTATCAGAATGTCAGAAACAATCCGGTTCCAATTTCATGTTCTGCTGCACATCCCCGGCCCTGCTAAACTTCTCCATTAGCTACCACAGCTTCTAGAACTGTCTGGAATGTCTGTCTGTCTACCAGTTTAGAGAGCTCAGTGCCTGTGGGGAGGTGGGAACCAGGAGACAGAGATTCAATCACTGAGGTAAAAGCCCAAAGGCAGCTCTGTCCAGACAGGAGGGAAAGACAGACGGACCCTGGCCCCAGGTTGCCAGGATGATTTCGTGATTTAAACAACCTGCTGGGGATGGAGTAAACTGCTGTTTTCTGCTGTGGTTGGGGTGTCTGTAGTGTCTTGTTAAAGAGGATTTTGGAGGCTCCAAAACCAGCTGTTAGGGCAGGTTCTGGAAACTCTAGGAAGGAGGTCTTAGCTGGAGGAAGTAGGTCTCTGAAGGCAGGCGCTAGGGTGGGGGTGGGGGGTAGCTTGTGCCTAGCCCTTCCTGTCTCTTTTGTTTCCTGGCTGCCAGGACATGAGCTACTTTGCTCCACCTCACTTTTCCTGCCATGGTGGACTGACACTTATAAAACGAAGCTGAAATAAATTGTCCTCATTCCACTTGCTGTTTTTCAGATAGTCAGTCATAGAGACACACAAGTTTAACTGGCTTAATTGCTAAAATGAGATTAAGGAAAAATGATGGAGTCTGGGGTTCTGAGCTCCCAGGGAAAGTCCTCTTTCCCATCAACTCTGTGGGTCCTGGGCCTGGGAAATCTCAGCAAGTCACCCACTGAGTGGGCTTCTAAAAGGCAGATGGAAACCTGGACACGGGGCCAGCCTGGAGCCCAGGTAGCAGCCCACAAGGACATACCTTGGTTTCCTGGTTGTTCTTGTTCTCGATGCCGTAGATCTCCTGCAGCAAGTAGCTGACCCGGTCCACCTAGAGAGCAGGAAGTGTGCTGGGGTTTGGTCAGTCTCCTCTAGTGGGCATCTCTGTACCTAGAACACCTCCAGAACCGCAGGTCTCAGGGAAAGTGTGGCTGGGAAGTCCATGAGACTTGTTGAAGCCCTCTTCCTGAAGAAGGGCAGGTGCCAAGAACAAGAGACAAGAACCCCTGCCTTGTCCAGCAACACAGTGAGTAAAAACTAGGGCCGGTGGTCCCATCCATCCATCTATCTCAGAAGGCCTGGCTCCAGGCTGGTCACAACCATCTCCATTACCAGACAGCAAGCACTTTGGACCCATTTTGTCACCCACAAAAGGGCCAGTGCTGTTGTCTGTAGGCAGCTGACAACAAGCTATAAAACTATTGTTTCCAGGAGACATGAAAACTATGTCTGGTCTTGGATACAAAACCAGTAACTTCTGACCCAAAGGCTTCATGCTGACCTGTCCCAAAGTATCTTTAGTTACTGGTTCCAAAGTTCCGTGGACCACAGCACCCCTCCAGAAAGCCAGGATCCTGCTAGCTGGCTTTCAGGTGACAGACAAGTGCTCTAACCACGAGTGGAGTCTTCTGCCCACCTAGTATCGTCAGGCTCTGAATCTAGCCTGGGTTCACTCTCTTTCCTTTAAAGGCTAACTAAGCACCCCACACTGTCTTTAAGCAGGTGTCTGGCACCTGGGTAGCTACACACAGGACAACTGCTCACTACAGCCATGGGACGTAGGTTCCAGCCTGTCACTCTCAAATGGCTCCAGGAGTCCTACTAAATTAATCTGGTATGCAAGTAGGCCACCAGAAGTAACTGCCCTTTGTAGAATCACAAAACTTGTGATTTCCAAGAAAAGCTGTCCCAGCCTCCCCTGTACCTGGGATTCCTCCCCTTTCAGGTTCTGATATGGCCCATCTGAGTGAGTCTTTGCCTATTGCTGCTTTATTTCCAGTAATTTGTAAGCAAGAGGCAGCTGCCATATTTCAGCTTCCCACTCATTCAGCAAAAACCTAACTTCAATCCATGCACCATGGTTTAAACTGGGGAGGACTCAGGTACCTATTGCCATAGAACCAATTAACTATGCAACCCACGCTCACAAAACACAGACCCCAATACCCCAGAGCACAACAGAGCACCTCAGGCAAGCAGCTCCTTCAGGACCAGAAGAACAGCCATGGAGTCTGGCATGTGTTCACACCTACATTATGTGTGTTTCACAACCCAAGGGCCCATGATGTCTGGCACTTACAATTTGTTTCTGCTTTAATGGCTTCACGGAGAAGCTGCCATCCACATGCTGCAGGGGAAAGACACAGTTAATTTCAAACTAGGCCCCTCCCAGCACTCTTGCCAGGTGAAGGCCAGCCTACATTCATGGCTGAAAATAAGGAAAAGGTGAAGACAAGAGCCAGGCCACAATGTCCTCATATGTGGCCTCACCCCTGCCTTCTACAGTACCTGGAACAGCTTTTTCAAACATTCCTGTAGAACCCAACTATCCCAGGGGTTTCCAGCATGCACAAATTGAAGCCACTCAGCCACATCCTGATATTGGCGAGCCACTTCCAGGGACCCAGAAGCAGTATTCATGTAGCAAGTGAGAATACACAAAAGATCTTGGGCATGGATTAATCAGGAAGATCACACAGCACACACCCAGATAGCTAGAAATGTAAGAACAAAATGGAATAAAACAAATGCGCTTAATGATATCCAGTTGGAAAGGTTTATTAGACCTCAGATTTTTGCAATAAAACTAATTATACCCTGAGTCAACCAAGACCAGCACTCAGGATTGTCCAGTAAAGTTGTGGACACTTATGGAAATTACTAGAATGTGGTCCTAAAAAAAAAAAAGTTTTTTACTGAGCTCTAAATTGCAAACACTGAATGAAATGCCTGTGGGACAGCCTACTCGCCTCACCAGATCCTGATGTAAGCACTTCTCCCAACAAGGCCCAAACCTGTCAAGAGATGGCTGGGCAACTGGGCAGTTGTGGCACACGCCCTTAATCCCAGCACTGGAAAGTCAGAGGCAGAGGCAGAGGCAGAGGCAGAGGCAGAGGCAGAGGCAGGCAGATCTCTGTAGTTTACAGAGAGTTCCAGGATATCCAAGGACACAAAGAAACCCTGTCTCAAAAAAAACCAAAAAGCCTCTGGCCAGCACACTCTTGTCACCTGCACTTCTGGACCCAAAAGAGCATGCCTAGGCTTACTACAGAGCAGGCTGGCAAAGCTTCGCAGATCCCAGAGTGGTCTGGAGACCCGGATCACAGTAGGAATGGGTTCTGCATTGAAAGTGTACCTTAGTGAAGAACCCCAAATCATCAGGACTCAAGATGATTCAGCAGAAAATGAGATGTGGGGATCCCCAAGTAATCCCAGCCCATTCTTGTTGGGGTCCTTGTCACCTGGGCTCCAGCCTGGTACTATGTTTTAGCTGCAGTGCTAACAAATGGCAAAGGGCCTGAGGGAGGGTGAGGTCCCTGGAGGCATTATCAAGCAGGCATGTAATATCCAAACCTCTGGCACATGAGGGTATGTGTATGTATATATCCTCAGTGAATAATGGGGTGAATGAGGGTCTGCCAACTGCTAGTGCAACCCATGTATATGGGGTTGAAAACCCAGGTGCACATATATATAATATATATGTGTATATATATGTGTGTGTATATAATATATACATATACATATACATATATTAACCCCCACTGAGCATCCGTTACAAACTAGGAGCTGTGCCACCTCTGAGATGAAAAGTTAAAGGCCACTTCTGCCCTGGGAAATAATAACAGGAAACAATTGTTCAGAGAGGTAAGGAAAGGCCTCTCGTGGTGATGGAAGCTTGTCTAGTCCTATCTGGACTTCAAGCTGCAGCCAACAAGAGAGGGAGAAAAGAACAGATGGTAAGTGAGGTAGATATGCATACCAGGTAAGGCTGTGACCAGGGCCTGGTGGCACCTGAGGATGCTGAACCTGCTGGCAAAGGGTGGTGGCTGGAGGAGGGAAAGTTAGTCTGTGGCAGAGGTCTCCATGCAGCATCCTGGCCTGGGCTGGCAAGTTCTTGAGGGTCCTATGGGGCTGGCCTCAGTCTAGAACATTCTTCTTGACTACTCTAAATACTCTTTAAAAACCCCAAGAGGATGCTCAGCCTTAGGACCAGTATCTTGGGAACTAAGAATCTGTCATTTAGCCCCTGTACCAAGCCTTGACCCCCACCCTCAGGATATACCTGGACCCAGCTCTCCCAGGTTACAGGGTGGTGGCACTTACCTTCTCAAAGGCAGCCAAGAGTACATGAGCATGGCCAGCCACTTCTACAACTGAAGCAGTGAGAGACAAGAGAGGAGAGCCAAAGTGAGGCCATCGCTAGGACTCTTGCCCTTTCCCTGCCAGCATGATTTCTAGATGCCACAACTAGTAGAGCCCAGAGTCCACTCCTGTCCTTGTCCTCATCTGACCTTCCTCTTTCCACATGGCAATGCCACTGTTATGAGCCTGTGTGTGGGCCGTGATACATACTCTCCATTTCCAGAGAAGGCTTTCTGATGACCCAGGGAGAAGGAAGCCACTACTTCCCCATAGGCCCTACTTGCAAAGGAAGATGAGGAAAGACCAACAATGCTCACCATCTCCTTCATCCACCACTGCCTGGATGACTACTGGAAACACACCTCGGTCCAAGTCAAAGTTCAGCTGAGGAAAGGCAAAAATGGTCAGGTCCACAGACATCAGGCAAGAGTTGTTAGCCTGAGCTGGAGCAGACAGATAGAATTAAGTACACTCAGTGCCACTAAGCCACGGAGACCATGTGGAGCTGTATAGCTTCTGACTGGCTCTCCAAACGGAAATTCCACTTGCATGAGGTAGTAAGTCCCCATTCCCTCCTCAGTCCTAGACACCTACTCAACTGTTTTCCATAGCTGTGCCTGCTCTGGACAGTTCCTACAGTGGATCACATAGTGTCTTTTTTGTTGTTGTTTTGTTTTTTGAGACAAGGTTTCTCTGTATAGCCCTGGCTGTCCTGGATTCAGTTTATAGAGCAGGCTGGCCACGAACTCATAGCTATCAGCCTGCCTCTGCCTCCCGAGTGCTAAGATTAAAGGCATGAGCCACCATGCCCCAGCTTGTGTCTATCTTTTTATGCCTAGCCTTTTTCATTGAGCATGCTTTCCAAGCTCAGCCACGATTCTGTTCCTTTTTATGGTTTCATAGTTATTCTAGGGGGTAGGGAAGCCACTCTGTACTTGTCTATTTACCAGTTGGAGATCCATGGGCAGTTTCTACACTGTGAACACTGTGAACAGTGCTTAGCCTCTGTCATCCAGTCTCTTGGGGACATATCCAAGTCTTGGGTTAAGTTTAATTATGTAATTGTTTGATGAAAAGCATCTAGCTTATTATGCCCCACCGAAGATGGAACGCGAGTGACCATGAGTGAAGGAGACCACTTAGTTCATCTGTCTCCTTCTCAAGCCAGCAGCTGCCCTTCCTTCCAGATCTTGTTCTACCCTCAGCACTCCCACTTCAGCAGCCTCAGATGGGACAGGTCCCCATCTCTTCATGAAGACCTATTGTCCTGAACCCCTGGCTCTCATCTTGCTCCCTATTAGCACAGCAATCCTCTGGAATTCACCTGATCCACACCTATGCACTCCCTGTAAACACTCTCAGCTCCTAGTCTTCCTGTCCCTAGGCTGCCCTCAGAAGCTGTAAAAGACAAAATCCAGCCTACCCCACTCTCAGAAACCCTCTTGATATCTCAGGAAAACAGGTCATTTCCATTATTCTCACTCAGGAGTTACTGAAAGAATGATCGTATGGTAGGGCATAGCTCTGATTTCAATCATGAAGAATGAAGTATGGTAGGGCATGGCTCTGATTTCAATCACTCAGGAGGCAAAGGGTGAAGGTGGTAAACATCAGTGAACTGGGGACTGTCACAAAGGCAGATCCCTAGGCAAGAGTACTCTGTGAGTTCAAGGTTAACCTGATCTACATACACTTAGACCCTGCCTCAAAAACAAAAAACAAGCTGGGCGGTGCTGGCACATGCCTTTAATCCCAGTGCGGCAGAGGCACAGAGAGACAGAGGCAGGTAAGTTTGAGGCCAGCCTGGTCTTGAGTTCCAGAACAGCCAAGAATGTTATATAAAGAAACTCTGCCTCAAAACAAAACAAAATCTTGTGAATTCTGTGAACATACTAAAAACCACTGAATCCTGAGAATGAGTCAGCTGTGTGGCATTTGTGGAATCACAGCACAACTAAGTTAAAAGAAAACCAAACATGAAACAATTAGAAAAAGGGCCGGCAACAGTATCTGCAGCCTAGGCCCTGTTCACTGGGGCAAAGGACAGTACCCTCTGCCTCACAAGTAGACCAGACCCACAGGCTCATGGTAGAGCTGCTTCTGGACTGTGCCAAAGGACCCCGAGTGGATGACCGGGCATTTGATTGTGAATGGAGACTGACAGCAGAGCATAGGGCTCCCTTATTCCTCCAAGTCAGGGTAAACCAGCCTGGAGCACAGGACTCTAAGGCCTGTCTGTCTACCTTCATCAGAAACAGTTCCTCATGGAGTTAAGCTATAGGAATAGAGCTGGGCACTTGTCTCCTTACAAGCCCAGAGACACATGCATTTTTAGTCCTGTCACACTGAGCCTTAGGTTTGGGTTTTCTTTTTCCTTTTTTTTTTTTTTTTTTTGAGACAGGATTTCTCTGTGTAGCCCTGGACGTCCTGGAGCTTTGTCAACCAGGCTGGCCTCTGCCTTCCAAGTGCTGGAATTACAGGCATGTGCCACCATGTCTGGCTTAGTTTCATGTTTTCAAATGAGGTCACTACTACACTGAGTTCTACTTCTGACTTCTGGAAGCTGATAGGGAGGCAAGCCTGAGTGCATCGGGTCCCTTATGCTCTGAATAGCATCCCACACTGTTCTTAGCTGCACTCTGCATCTTGGAAGGCACCAGCTGTGCGGGGTGAATTCAGCACCAAGACCGATGGTCTGGGCAATGGTGTGCCATGACTTTGGTCCTATCCTCCCCTCTCCCCATGGTATCCTAGGGCTTACAGAACAATTCACATATCATAGCTCCCTCAGAGACCCCTGCTTTCAAAATATGCACACAGCCATGCACCACCACATATACAGGACCAAGTGAGTGACAATGAAAGAGGACACACTTCACCAACAGAGGGAGCCTGAGGACAAGGCTTGTTTGGTTTTTATTTTCAAATTTTATGTGCATGGGTATTTGACCTGCATGTATGTCTGTTTACCACTTGGTTTCCTAGTTCCCAAGGAAGACAGAAAGAGGAACTAGAGTTATATACTGTTGTGAGCTGCCATGTGGGTGCTACAAATCAAATCTGGGTCCTCTCCAAGAGTAAGTAGCCAGTGTACTGCACCACTATTCCATCTCTGGATCCTATTTGTTTTATTTTAACAGAGAACAAGGGAGACCCTCAAAAGGAAAGAGGCTGCTGGGACCAGAAGGAGCCCAGGCAGCTGGCCACCAGCATGAGTCATGCCCAGGGTCTTGTATTTGGAAACCAGTAAGAGCCCTGGGGTTTCTCGTTACACAGGGTCTCACAGGCAAGGGTCTCTGCAAATGGATGCTGAGAAATAAGGACAGAGAAGAAAGTCTCTGGCAGAACTAAGTAGACACCAAGGGCAGAGAGGAAAGGGAAGAGGGAAAACTAGCAGAAAGGCTACTCAAGCTGCAATCTACAAGAGGCCTGTGAGGAAAGCCTGTGACATGCAAAGCTGAGCTGTGTGATTCAGAAACAAAGAACAGGAAAGCCAAGGCTACATAGAGAGACCCTGTTTAAAAAACAAAAACAAAAAAAGGCTGGGTGGAAAGCACACCTTTAACTCTAGCACTTGGGAGGCGAAGGCAGGTGGTAATAAGAGCCAGCAGCTAAACTGTCATGGTGCTGTCTGGGGATAATGACCACGGGGGAGCCTCTACCTTCGCACCTTTCTAGAACCCAGCACTGCAGCCTCCACGACTGCCACTCTTATGGCTACTAAGCCTTGTCCACACCTTACTCCTTAATCCCTCTGCATATCTGACCCAAGACAAAGACGTGACCATTCCCAGCCAGAAGACAGAGAACGCAGAAAAGAAACAAGAGACAACAGGGGCTCCCCCAGGGTTACCTCATCATCCTTCCACTCGGAGAAGTCAATCTTGAAAGAAGGCAGGGAGAACTGCTGGCTAACGCCTCTCTTGTAGTGGACGGTCTCAGACTGCAGAGAAGGGTTCTTACAGCTGTACCTAAGGACAGCAAGGCAGCCACCTGACTCCTGTGGAACCATGCATCCCTGCGCCCAGGACCCCTCCTCTGTTACTCTTCTGATGGCCAACTGAACTGGCAGCCACTTGGTTTTATAGGGATCGAGAGCCCCAGCCATCCCAAATGGGAATAGGAAGCAGCCTGATTGGCCAGGTGGCCCTCGATCTTACAAGAGCCTCCCACTGCCAGCTCTGCTAACCATGAGGCTGCCCAGTCATTCCAAATGACCATTTCTTCCAGAAGCCACACCAGCCCACTATCTCTGCTGCCCCCTGGACGGGAAGAACATGCCTGCTAGGTATTTGGTGCATTTGCTTTCCTGAATGATCACAGTGCAGTAGTCCCTGTCCCAGTGCTGTATCCTAGCTGCCTGCTTCTGAGCCCCAGCTAGGCACTGCTCAGGAAGAGTCACACAGGCATGCCCACACAGCAGGAGGCCTTTGCTTCAACATGAGTCACGTTCTGCTACGTCCTGCTACCCTCATGAGTGTCACGTTCCCTGAGCCCCAATGCTGTTCCATGGCAGCTTTGCTCTAGGGACACTAGCTTCCTGTCTCACTAGTCCCCACAATGCTTCAAGGGCCACCCCTTCCCTTCTGCAGAAGCTCATCTCATACCGAAGGCTGACTATTAGAAAACAAGAACTGAGCCAGTGTCTCCCATTCATGACAAGCCATGACGCTCACTGTTCCCACCCCCACCCATCCATACTTACTGTCCCAGGGCTTCTCTGGGCATTTAGGACAAAGGCCACACTGTTCTTACTGTTCTTACAAAGGACATCCCTGCTGTTCTTACTGTCAGTGCCAGGGTGAGAGGGAGCCCCACAGGGAGGCCCAGCCTGGATGTAGTGAAAAAAACCAGACCAGGAAGGAATCTCAGCGGCGCGGCTTTCAATTAGAAGCTGTGGGACTCTAGAACCACAATGCTTCAATTTTCTCAACAGAAAGTTAAGGGGGCCAGGAAAGGAATGGGAAGTCGCCTGTCCTGCAACTCGGGACAGAGTATTCCTGGTGGCTGGGTTTAGGGTCCCCGAGCCCAGCCTCTAAAGCCTGGAGCCTTCTGTTTCTATGTCTTGGTGATTTGTTGCTGGTGTCATGCAAGCCAACAAACTGAAAAGCAAACAAGCCTCATGCAGGTTCAGAAAAGGTCTAATAGGACCAGATCTCTGGGCATCCATGTCTAACTGGCCATCTATCTAGCCCATCTGGTGGCAACAAGACCCTGGTTTTTTGTTGTTGTTGTTTGGTTTTTCTTTTCTTTTCAAGACAGGGATTCTCTGTGTAGCCCTGGCTGTCCTGGACTCCCTTTGTAGACTAGGCTGGCCTCGAACTCTCAGCCATCCACCTGCCTCTGCCTCCTGAGTGCTGGGATTAAAGGCATGAGCCACCACGACCGGCTAGGACCCTATTCTTACGATATCTCACAGGACACAACAGAGAACAGCTATCTGGATGGGCTGGGGTTGGGGCCCATTGGACTGAGGCCCTCACTTCCTCTGGGGCAGCTCAAAAGCAGCTGTGCCCAAGGACAGCTCAGAAACAGGAGCTCCTCTTCTCAGCTGCCATCACTCTGGAGGCCCAGGGAGCACACCACCCCACAAGGTGATCCTGCCTCAGGCCGTAGCAGGTTGGTAGCTCACCCATGGGCTTGTGCTGCCACTCTGGCTACTCCTTGCTAACAATCACCACACACTGAAGTACTAAGTAACCCTGTTCAGGCCACAGTGGAACCTAGTGTGGAACCAAGTGTGGAAAAAGCATTAGCTTCGTAATTTGTGCTACCACTCAGGGAGGAGTCTGCTGGTTGCCTGGGGCCTGAGTCCTAGAGGGGGACTTGAGTCTTCTAGCTAGCTGGGAGTAGCTATTATGCCCCTTATGTATGAGGAGCTAACCCATGCATGGACACTACCCATAAGAGCTGAAGCCCCCAGCCCTCATTCCCAGCTGAGAAAATGAAGTATAAGCAGTTACATGCTCTGACTACATCAGTAAGCACAGAGCTGGAAAACACTCAGAGCTATACTTAGTCCTCCTCACTCCCAATTCCAGATCTGAGCCTTCTCTAAGGTCTTCTCCGTGTCAGAAGGACACGCTTTTGCCCATCTGTGAAGCCACTCAGGACAGAACTGGCTTTCCTGATGAGGCAGCCCTGCTAAAGTTATGCTGTGATTGCAGGTTCCAAACTCATATTTTAAAGAAAATCTCCAAGTCCAAATTTATAATTGTGACATGTATATATATATACAGACATATGAATATAACTCACACACACACACGCACAGTGTCTCTACACCAAGCTCCTGGCATAGAGTCCCTAATCTCTTGGCGTTTTCTGGGTGCTGGGTGTCTCTACCCAAAGGAGGTGAGTTCCTATGGAGGCTTCTGAAGGGAGCTGAAAGACTAAGCCACTGTCAGCAGCAGGAGACCTTTCAGCCCAATGCCTTCTGGGAAGGGGAGCGGCTGCAGAGAGAGCCGACGATGAAGCCCACAGGACACTGCAGAGCCTGCAGAAAGCCCACAGAGCTGTGCCCAGGGACTCACACTGCCATGCCGTTTAAGAACTCCTCCACTGCCTGGCAATAAATGGTGATAGCAACTCGGGCATCGGCATCAAAGGTGAATTCCAGACTGTAGAGCACACGGGGCTTCTCACCATCCTCTGTGGGGCTGTCGGCATCGTCTTTGTACCTACCAAAAGTAGGCAGAAGATGACAGGTCAGGAGCCATAACCCCAAGAAGTGGCCTGCCCACATAGCTGTGGGCATAAAGCTGGCTGCTTAGGCATGTCTACTTTGCTAGCGAAGGTGGAGAAAGGCCTGTTCCCTGTGGCACAGCCAGGCCCATAACCCAGTCTGCTCCCTTTCTTCCTGTCCCCAGAAACGAGGGATAAGTGTAGCTGGTGTGGATGTCTTAGGTCTAAAGCAGTTTGGTATGGTATTGACAACCAGATTGACTCCCCAAGCGCAGGGGTAACCCTGAGATTATCCCCTGGCCTCCAGGGTTCTGATGTGGTGGCACCCAGCAACCAGTGCTTTCTAAATAGGTGCAACTGCTCACGGCCCTTTTACAGAGTGCAAATGCAGATGAGAGCAGAGACTGGGCCCTCTCAATACCCCTGCTCTCTTCCCAAGGACCAAACCAGAGCCTCTGCAGGAGGGAGCACTATGGGCGTTACCTCACAAGCCGGAGGGAGTCTTTGCGGATGTTTACCAGGCTCCTCAGTGTCTTTACTGGCTCATGGGGGGCAGGGGTGACATAGGGAAACTAGAAGAGAAGAAAACAAGTGAACACAGATGATTCTCTAAGAAGTAGCAGTGAACAGAAGACAGAAGTCAAGGGAGTTCCCAAAAGCCATTCTTGAGCTCTGGTCCCCTTGTCAGGGGCTGAACTGATATTGGACATACTATTCACTCATTTACTAAAAGGAGACTCTGGCTACTTGGCCAGGATGTGGGATTGGACTGGCAGAGAGACTTGGTCATTTAGCCACAGACCTCAGCTCTATGCAGGATACCCAGAAGTGACTATGGTTAGGCTCTTAGGGCATTCGCCTATGACAGGCCACAACTCAATGCTGCCCACAAAGATAATCAATTTGCATACTACACCAGCAAGTATTTGAAAAGACAATACATGTGTACATGCTTATAATTATGCCCCTATATAAAAACACATACATTGGCGAGAGGGAACCATGGCTATGTGTCAATGTCTTCTGCCAGCAACAGAGCTGGAAAGGACACCATCACTGGAGAGTAAGGTGGGTAACACACACAGACTGTACATGTTCTCTGTCACAACCCAAATGGATCCCCAACTGTCTCAAAATGAAGTAAAAATAAAAGGTCTGGACTCGGCAGTTAACAGCACTGGTTGCTTTTCTAGAAGGTCTAGGCTCCACTCTCAGCACCTACACGGCAGCTCACAACCACCTGTATCTCCAGTTCCAGGGATGTGATGCCTTCTTCTGGTGTCTACGGGTACTGCATGCACTACACACACACAAAATAAATAATAAATCTTTTTAAAAATTCAAAAGATTCACAGAAGACTCTCAAAAGTTAAGACTCTGGAAGCTGAGGGAAAAAAATGTGAAAGGAAAAAAAAAATCTCAGGCTGGTTCCCAGGTAGGAAAGGACAGCACTTGCCCCAGCCCCTTGGCCTACAGGATACACACCAGATCACAACTTTGTGTTAGCTACCTGCTCTGTGACTATTACTACCTAGAAGCTTCTGATCTGGCGGTCTGAAGGGTATTCAGGATGCAGCTTAGAGGCCTCCTGTCTTGACTATCATTTAAAAATGCTGCTAAGGATCTCCTCCCTGGCTCCTGTTCTTTCCTACTATACCCTCTTCCTAGGCATCATGCCCAGACCTAGCCTCCTTGGCAATGCCCACCTATCCTCTGTCTCCTGTGTTCCTTGCTCTTACACAGACAGGAGCTATTATGCTTTCTTCAATACTTCCCATAGGAAACCTCTGCTCCTCCTGCTCACCTTATCTGACCTAGTCTATCCTAACACATTTCCACAACCCATCCCAATGCTTCTCTTGCCCTAGGCTGAGCCTCCCTCACCTCCTGAGGGCTTACTGAAAGTCCGTTGGACCACCTTGATTCTAACTCATAGGAGGTGTGCTATCTAGTTTTATGTAAATTTTCATCAGACAGGAGGAAGCCTGAACTGAGAAAATGCCTCCATATGATTGGACAGTAGGCAAGTCTGTAGGGCATCTTCATAATGAGTACTGATGTGGGAGTGTCCAGACCACCGTGGGCTAGATTCTGTAAGAAAGCAGGATGATGCTTTGGGGACCCTTTCCCTCCTACTGGGTTGCCTCTTCCAGTCTTAATATGAGAGGAGGTGCCTCGACTTATTGCAACCTGATATGCCATGTTTGGTTGATACCTGTGGGAGGGCTGAACTTTTCTGAAGGGAAAGGGAAGAGACTGGGGGAGAGAGTGGATTGAGCAGGGAGGAATTGGAAAGAGAGGGGTGAGTGGGAACTGTAGTTGGGATATAATAATATATGAGGATAAAAAAAGTCCAAGGTTAAAAGAGAGAGAGAGAGAGAGAGAGAGAAGCAAGCAAGTAAGCAAGTGGAGCAAGCCAGTAAGGAGCACTCTTCCATGGCCTCTGCATGAGCTCCTACCTGCAAGTTCTGCCCTGTTTGAGTTCCTGCCTTGGCTTCCCTCAATGGACTATGATTTAGGATATGCAAGCCAAAAAAAACCTTTTCTTCCTCAAGTTGTTTTTGTTCTTGGTATTTTATCACAGCAATAGCCATAAGACAAGAGGTAAGTCCTCTGGCATGATAGCCTACTTCTTTAGGATTCCAGTGTATACTGAAGACCTGATGAGACATACAGCCTTGTGGACTGAGCAACTATGGGATTCTTGAACTTTCCATTCATAACTAGCCATTGTTGGATTAGCTGGATGGCAGCCTGTAAGTCATTCTAATAACTCCCCTTCATATATATATATATATATATATATATATATATATATATATATATATAATATATAACATATTCATTCTATACATTCTGCTGCTCTGAAGAATCCTGACTATTCCACCCTCTCACATCCACTGCCCTCCAACTGGCCTTCAGACTCACTGCTGGTGGGTGGCCTGCAATAGGCCACTCCAGCTCTTCCTCCCATCTGGCACAATTCAGCTCAGCCATGAGCTCTGCAGTGCGGCCCCTTCTCTCTCACTTCTTTGTTCTTCTGCCCCCCTAACAGCCCATTTAATATCTTTTTCTTTATGATTCTTACCATCTGAAAAATGGGGAATGGTCTGACTTCAGTTTCCAGCCCTAGACATACACCAAAGGTATACTGAAGGAATGGACAGTGTGCTTAAATGTGTATCTTTGGCAATTAGTGAAGTCTTCTAGGCACTTACATTCCCAGTGAGAGCATGGCTCTTTCCCACTATTCCACAGATGGTGGTGTTCTTTCTGCTCACACAAAAGGCCTAGAATGAAATCTCTAACTTTGTGCAGCCTGGATGCATCAGCTCAATAATGGCCATTCTGTCCCTCAGTGACCCAACCCTGATTGTCTGATCTCTCAGAGGCAGTGCCAGGACACACTCTAGGTCACATGCCCCCTTCTAGCTCTGCTCAGCTGCTGGGTGCTCTGTCCCATCTGGGGCAACTTGGCACCTGCTAATCCTCACGGCTGGACAGAGGCACCCGAGACAGTCTTCCCACTACTCACACCAGCCACAGTGCCAGCCCTGCTGAGACCCACCTGGACTGGACGACTGCCCAGGAAGTTCAGATCCATGTTCTCTCCAAAGAGGTAGCCTTCAGGATGGGGGGTGTCAAATTTCTCTCCTCCCATGAAAAAGTGTGAAGCAAAGTAGTTTCCTGCTTAAAAAAAGGAAACATGTTTGTTCATAGACCATGATGCCTAGCATAGCTATGTGGCTACAGCCAGAAGCCCCAAGGCCTTCGTTCTGAGTGGCTCACGTTGTTCTGGTTCTGCCCTCCACCAGCCTTCTGCACACCATTGACCTCTACAGCCTGCCTCTCCCTGGTCTCAGATGACAGGCAGCTCTGGATCTGAATGCCACTGCCCTTAGGAGTCAGGTAAGCCAAGTCCCCAACAACCAAAGATGTGTTCAAGATGTACCCCGTACCCTTGTTTGGAAATAGGTAGGGTCTTTGTTGGTGTTATCAGTCAAGATTAAATCCAAGTGGACTAAAGAAACTCTAACCCAGCGGTGACACATGCAGAAAACAGAGAGGTCTGGACACGTGTACACAGACGGAAGAAAGTGGGTGAAGATACAGGTAGAGACTGGAGGGAAGAGGCAGCAACCAGATCAGGAGTGCCCAGGACTTGGAGCCTCCAGAAGCTAACAGAGGACAGGAAAGGATTCCCCTTAAAGCCTTCACTGCGAGCACAGCTCACCAAGAAATTGATTCCTGACTCCTGGCATCCAGAACTCACAGCAGTTGACGGCTGAAGGTCATTTGTCATGGCTGACTCCCCACACAATTCTTGACCCCACACTGTCTGTACTCCACCTTCCAAATCTGAGCCCCATGAATGTTTTAAAACCAGCAATGATCAAAGTTTAAAAGTTGACATTGATGTGGACTCTTTCTCACAGGTATTGAAACTATAAGTGGTTTCCACCTAGACCCCAGAGAACTTTAAACATTAAACGTGCAGGGTAGAGAATATGGCTCAATGGTTAAGAACACATGCTGCTCAAAACCATCCCTCACTCCAGATCCAGGGAGCCCAGTGCCCTTTTCTGGCTTCTGTGTGCAGTACTATATGCAGGTAGCATATATACACATAGGGAAACACTCACACATAATAAAGAATATATATTAATTCTTTATCTAACCACTAAAATTGCATTTCTCCTCTGAGAAAAAAGGTAAAAGTCTTCAGATGTTGAAAGAATTGAGCATAAATAGCCCTGAAGAAAACTAGAAGCCAGGCCTTTCCCAAATATCCCAACCTGAGGCCCACCCACCACACTCCTGTACTTTCCAGCACAAAGGACCTAAGCAAAATCCTAGGTGTTAGGGCTGTTGAGACTGCACATCCCTCGGCTTTGTTAGCATCAGAACTTCTGGGTCCCTAAGCCCATGAGAATTCTTTTTATGGTCCTAGTGGGAATCCTGGGCCTCTTAAGGAACCAGGAACACTCAACATGTGACTTTCCTGAGAATTGCAACCCCAGTGATGGTAGGAATAGACACGGTCTGGGCCCAGTAAATAATGCCAGAGAGCTCTTACCCGGGATAGGAGCCCAGAACCAGGAGGCTGTCCCTGGCTACAGGAGCAGCAGGCAAGGCCTAACCTCAGCAATAATGCTAACCCGCCATGTGCACCAGTCAACTGTGGTCAAACAAAAAGAACAATGTGACAACTAGTTCAAAGTATAATAACGTGGGTTTAAAGGACTGCCTCCCAGTGCTCTACAAAAGACCTGCATACATTGGCATCGAGAAGGACTTACACACATGTAGAATTATACATGCTGGTAAGGTCAGAAGAGCATGCTGTATATATGCTCCTGAATCCTGTTTGGAGAGACATACAACATAAGCTGTGAGAACAAACAGAATGATCTCAAAAGACATGTCCAAAAGGCTACCGGAGAAAGCTATGTCAAGTACAAGAGAAGGACCAAAAGCCCTGGCTTTCTGTTCTGCAATGGGTCTTTGCAGTAAACGTGTAACATGGTGGTTTCCAGTCAGTAAAGAGAATGACTGCCACAAAGACAAGTACAAGAACATCTTCCCAAATCACCTGGAACACACATGGCCCTGCTCCCATAAAAGCACTTACGGGGAGAGAACCTCAAGGCACAGGTGGTTTCTGACCATGTCTGAGCCTTGGCTTCAATCCTGACTGATTTCTATTGGTCTAAAAGTGAGTCTGAAAAAAGGAGCAGAGGAGTAGGCTTTGACCAGCCACTGCAAAACAGCCTAGTCTGCCTCACATACACAGTACATCAAATGAACGGCTGCTAGAAAACCCCCCTGTGCTAAAGACCCCTCTGACGGGCTGGCACTGCACTAGCTGGACAGCAAGCAATGCAACAGGCACTGGATGCAAGAAAGCCCACAGATACCACACATGGCCCTACGTACCCCTGGAATACTTATCCATCTGGAGCACACTCCACAGCAGTGGGAGCCTTGGTCTGGAGAGAAGGCACAATGAGCACAGAAGCTGGGATGCCCCAGAGCCCCAGGCAAGAGACAGGTACCTGGCTGAGAGATCCCTGCCCCAACATTGTGAAGTCAGACTCCAAAACTGGTGTAGGAGCCAGCTTCCAAGATGGTTTCAAAGGCCCTCACCTCTAATAGAACCCCAGGAGACAGAAAGGGCTGCACACATAATCAGGAGCTCTTGTGGAAGGGGTAGAGTATGATTTCCAAGACTGGAAGGGCAGTCTCAAAAAAAAAAAAAAAAAATCCTTGAGATTTCCAGGCATGGGTTTTTCCTTTCTTTCTTTTCTTTCCTCCCCCACCCCCACTTGGTTTTTCAAGAGAGGGTTTCTCTATGTAGCCTTGGCTGTCCTGGACTCATTTTGTAGACCAGACTGGCCTCGAACTTACAGAGATCCTCCTGCCTCTGCCTCCCAGAATGCTGGGATTACAGACATGTACCACCATGCCCAGCCAGGCATGGGTTTTCAAGGCAGTTTCTTGAAGCTCATTCTGTAGGCCAGGCTGGCCTCGAACTCACAGAGTTCCACCTGTCTCTGCCTCTCGAGTGGTGGGAGCTGGCATTAAAGGCATATGTCACCACTGCCCAGAATTATTACATTCTTTAAGCACTGTGCCATCTCTCCAGCCCAGCTGTTAAAATTCTTGGCAGGAATGAAAGATTCTCCCTACATATAACCTTGGAACTCTGGTGGTTCTGTATCTCCAGGAAGGGCTGCTGGGCACCAAGCCAGAAGTACACACTTCGAAGGAAGGTCCAAGCACCTTCTTTATCTGGGCAGAAAAGGATGAAGTGAGTGAAGAATGAGATCTGTTCCACAAGATCTCTAGTTCAGCCAGGGGTATGGGAAAAGGAGATTTTTCTCAGCAGTAAGTGTTACTATTCTTTTAGCTAGGCTGCTGGCACCAGGCCAAATGGCAGTGGAGAGCTCGGGGCTCTGAGACTGAGGCAGGTTGCAATGCAAGTCAGGTGGCAATGAGCATCCTACCTGACTCAGACAAACTGGGTGGCTGTTTTGGGAACAGCCGGCAGCTTGCTGCTACAGATCAGCACTGAGGACAAGCTCCAGAAGCCCTGGAGCTATCAGTGACTGCTGCTGTTCTGCTGTGACTGCTGGCTGGCAGTTGATTCCAAGGGACCCAGTGATGAATCCCTTGGGGAGAAGGGAGGCCCTTCCTTCCCCAGTGCTACAGCTCAGAATAGACAGCCAGTCTCAGATGGCCTTCCGCCGCACTCTCCAGCTTTATTTCATGTGAAACAGGGATTCATAAACCTTGGGCAGTGGGGAGGGGTTTTGAGGATGTATGTGTCTCACTGGCTGGGACACAGGATGCTGGCAATGCTCGGCTGACACAGGGAAAGATAACAGATAACAAGCTCAGTGACTGACCACCTGTAGCCACCTTGGGCTTGTGTCACGTGCTCCTGAGGCAGGCACAGAAACAAGGAGAGAGCTTCGTCCCACACCTTTGTTCTCAGGATGAGATTTTAAATCTCAAATCTGAGGTCTCCGGGGTTTGAACTTCCCACTATTCCACACCACTCTGCTTCTTCTCGCTAGTCCCACGCCAATTTCCCTGGAGCATGGTCCACGAGCCCACCTACTCCTAAGATATTTCTGTGGTCACTACCCTGATCAAGGCCATCAGTGCCTCTGTGCCTCACAGGCAGTCCTTCCCACATCCTGGAACCTCCAGTGGTTTTTAACCACACACCAGGGCAAGTCCCACACTCTTCTCTACAACACACATAGCCCACCTCTCGCCTCAGGACCTTTGTACTTGCTGTTCCTGGTGAGTTCTTCCCCCTGAGCTCTGCCTTCATCTTCCCTGTTACTCATGAGCAAGGCCTCTTCTGACCATATCCATCATCCACCTGCTTCCTGAACAAACCCTCACTCTTGCTGTATTTCCTTCCACAATTTTTCAGTCCAACAGACCCTGTACTGAAGGCTCCAAAGACTCAGGATGGACAGTTCTGTGCCACACTAACTTCAGAAAGTAAAAGATAATAAGATAGACAGTTTGCTTTATTTCTACTGTCACTCTTCTACGAGTAACATATTATGTATAAAACAATTTTCAAAAGATCTAAAATATGGAAAAATGTCTATACAGCAGTGACTATAATATCCCAGGATTACCCAAGTTCTACCTAGAATAAGATACTGGTGATGGTCATACAACTGAATATACTAGAACCGTCAACTACATTTAGGAACTGACATCCTGGTATGTGGGTAATTTCCCAATAAAACTATTAAGAATAAGGAAGCCCTGTGGCAGTGGTGCACACCTTTAATCCCAGCACTGGGGGCAGAGGCAGGTGAATCTCTGTAAGTTCTAGGCCAACCTGGTCTACAGAGTGAGTTCCAGGACAGCCAAGGCTACAAAGAGAAACCCTGTCTTGGAAAAAGAAAACAACAACAACAAAAACTTACTAAAAACAAGAAGACAAGTAGCCAGCAATTATTAGAGGCTGCAGAGGTAGTTCAGTGGGAATCTGTTTGCCTAGCATGCTCAAGGCCAGGGGCTTTAGCTCCTTATATGTACACACACACACACACACACACACACACACACACACACTAAAAACTGAGAACATGACTGCTCCATTGTTAAGGGGGAGGCTTTTATCATATATATGAGAAAAATGTCTCAGGAAAAAAAAT